TATTTTTTTGTAAAATTGACTTGGATTTTACAAACTCTTAATTTCTGTTTATCTGGAAATGTTCTAATTTTGCTGTTGTATTTGAAGGACAGTTTTGATACATATATTATTTTTGGTTCGCAGGTTTGTTTTTTGTTTTTCTTTCAGTGTTTTGCATATTCCCATTGCCTTCTGGCCTGCATGGTTTCAGCTGAGAAATATGAACTTAATCTTATTGATTTTCCTATGTAGGTAATATTTCTTTTTTCTCAAGCTGCTTTCAGGATTCTTTCTTTTTCTTTGATTTTATAGAGTTTGATTATCATATGTCTTGGTAATTTTCTTTTGGGATCTATCCTGTTTGGGGTTTGTTCAGCTTCTTGAATGCTTCTCTTCTCATCTCTCATGATATTAGGGAGAATTTCTGTCAGTAGCTCTTTGACTATGTTTCTAGTACTTTTCTTTGTCTCTTTCTCTGCTGAGTTTCTGATCCCCCATAGTCATTCCTCTTCATGTTGTCCCACATGAATCTTAGACATAGAGAAAGGGCCATCCCTTGAAATTGATGAGAAGTATACTTATATATGCAGCCAACCCCACAGAAGTGGGCAGGGAGCAGAAGGAAGAAAGAAATGAGAAGAGAAAAGAAGCAGAGAAAGACCAAGCCAGGAACTTCCTAAAAGAGCTGTGACACAGGACACAGTGAGAGACTCAGAAGGGACCCTGCAGCAGAGCTGGAAGCAACTGACCCAGAATAGACACTGTGACAGAGCCTACCACAACAAGCCCAGAAGGTATCCTGCAGCAAAGTTGGTGGTAACAGTTCACCCAAGAAGAGCCTGTCTGTCCTAAGAGAGTCTAGGGGAATTAGTTCTCAGGTGGCCTAGAGGATGCCTGCACAACTAAGAGAGAAGGCATGTACAGAGAGAGAAAGACTTGTTTGCTTGGGCAGCTGAAAGGATTTGAGAGAGCAGTCCTGCAGGGAAGAAAGGAAGGATGTGCTATCCACTTAAAGTCTTCCAAGCTTTACCTGCATGTTTCTTGATCCTTATTGTGAGTTACAGCCGGTTGATTCTGATTCCATATTGTACCCCATTACCCACTGCCATCCAATGAATTCCAACTTATGGCTACCCCATAGAGGGTTTCTAAGACTGTGAATATTTATAGCATCCTATTTCTCCCATGGAAAAGCTGGTGAATTTGAACTGCTGACCTTGTGCTCAGCAGTCCAGTAGTTACCCAACAGCAACATCAAAGCTTCTGCCCCATTACTTCCTCGATAACCTCTTAATTATAAATATGGTCTGGGAGTTCTGTGTGGCCATTGTACAGGATTATCGAACCCAGCAGAGAAGTGGAGAAGAGAAATAGAGAGTGCCATGCGAGGGACAGCTGGTATGAGAAATTGGTCTAAAGGTTGGAGACATGTTTACTTCCATCTCAAATGAATCAACTTTATGCTGATCCTTCTCATTATCTCCCCTGAAGTTAGACAGGTTCTGACCCTGTTAGTACTCCCATCATTTTACAGTCAGATTGCTGACTACTGTTGATTTCCATTCAACAGTATCCTTATCTACCCCTTTCTATATTCTTTTCCATGATGAAACACTTCTTATACCTGAGAAAAAAAAAAAAACAACCATGAAAGTAGAAGTCTATATTCTACAACTCGCCACTGTTATTTCTACTTAAATTTTGATGGGCAGAAAGGGAAAAAAAAAATCATTTAAAATTATGTTGCTAGCAATGGAGACTGCCTTTTGCTAATGTAAATAGGGGAAGAAAAACATTTTGAAAGGATTGTTGTTGCTAAGTACCATCAAGTCGGTACTGGTTCATAGCGACGTTATATACAACAGAATGAAACACTGCCCATTCCTGGGCCAACCTCACTATTGTTGCCACGCTTGAGCCCATTGATGCTGCCACTTTGCCAATCCATCTCATTTGGGGTCTTCCTCTTTTTTTCAGACCTTCCACCCTAGCAAACATGATATTCTTCTCCAATGACTGGTCCCTCCTGACAATACGTCTGAAGTATGAGAGGCGAAGTTTGGCCATCCTGGAGTCAAAGGAGCACTCTGGCTGCACTTCTTCCAATATAGATTTGTTAGTTCTTTTGCAGCCCAAAGCACTTTCAATATTCTCCTCCAAGACCATAACTCAAAAGTATCAATT